GCTAGGTATTACTTGGCCAAAAAAGTCTTATTGATTTCCATTGTTTGGAATCAAGAGAATCGATTTAAATATTGAAATGTTTTGAGAACATTTCAGGTCTTTTAAAATAACTTCTAGGTGATGCTTTTTTTCTAATTTTATCAAATAGGAAAAAAAAAATGTTATTTAATTGAAGCACTACTTACCTAACACCATTCTTGCTCTATTATGTATATTTTCCCACGTAGGATTTTGCAATAGATTTCTTTCTTTTCCTTTTATTGTGGTAGTTTGGGCTTTACTTATTTGGCTATGAAGATTCCCGTGTTAACACACTAAGAGGCATTCAGATAGCATGTGCACCTGGATGCATAGTGAAAAGGAGCTTTGAAACACTAAGAAACCAGCAGTCTCGTATATCTGGCTAGACAGATGCCACGTTGTCATGGGTATCACTGAGAAGGAAGATGTTTCTGCCAGATCACTGAGCAGGCAGATGTTTCAAGCCCAGGAGGAATCTTTGCCTCAGCATATGTTGTCTCTATGCCATAAGCACAGACCGCCACATGGTAGTAGGCTGGCAAATAGAAAATTCACCAGAAGTTATTCTGTAGGCAAATCTGTACTGAAAGTGGCCTTATACATGCGGCTGAGCAGCCCATCATAACTGTAAGACCGCTTCAGGTTGTAATGGACGGTAATTGTGATGAACAGTGACAGAAAATGAGATTGGCTATGCCAATGATGCTTGAGAGGACAGTAACAGGAGCCCTTTAAATCCTTTCCCTACCTCCCATCTGGCATACAGAACTGGGGAAGTTAATCAAATGAAGTGAAAAATGCCACATATTTTTGCATAGTAATGCACGAAAGCAATCAGTGACAGTGCTCGGTGCCTGGTGTTGGTATGACCCAACGCCTGTTGGAGGCCAGCTCTTTCCTCCTGCTCTGGCAGATGGGTGCAGCAGTACTTACAGGGGGGCAAAATACTGTAAATCCTTCAGTCAGCTCTGCTCTGGGACCTTATGATCAGGCTTCACAGTATTTATTCTGAGCAATTGCAGCACTCACGAAAAGGAGTCGTGTTTACTTTTGAGAATACAGAAGAAATCTGAATAATTTGAGAAAAATAAATCTCTTATATAAAACACGTCAAGAAACCTTTCTGTCTAATCAGGAAGGAAAACAGATAATTTTAATTCTAGTGTTTCTATTTGTAACCTAATATATTTCTTCAGCTAAAGAGGACAAGCAGTAACTTTAAATAGGTCTCCTTGTTTCCTCTTGTCTATATCACTCTCCAAAGTGCTCTCCACCCTATCCTTGTTTGAGAGATATCCTTATTCATTCTTATTTATGAAGGTTAGGTCTCCAATTCTGTAACAAAGTACACATGACAAGTTAACTACAGCTTTAGACCAGCAGCGAATGTTACATATCATGTGCCCTAAGTACAAACTGTGAACAGCCTAGAAATAGAAAAAACATCTATTAAAAATGTACAGGGGAAATAGATGCACGAAGAATGCTCATTCATTTATTTAGCTCTCTTTTGTGCACCTATTCATCGTTTCACACATTCAAGAAAACTATACAACTGTTTGGTTAGTGTTGACTTTGGATAGCAGAGCGAGTATGTATACATAGAGATGAATTTTCCTTCCAAAGATCAAAATGACAGCCAAAGACCTTCCTAATGGAAAACTTTTTGGAGATCTTGCAAAACATATTCTTTGCAATACAAACTTAGCATTGAAGCTACAGGCACGTAAGCTTAAATTTTGCAAGCAGATTCTAACTGTACTTCATTTTACATGTCTGTCTCTTAATGAGGCCAGAAGGGTCTGGTCTGCATGAATCTGAATATTTAGGGTAATGTCTTACAAGCACAAGCTTGTCCTACAAATAAATTTGAGCACATTCTTCATGAAAAAGGTTTCTCACAAACAGTGCAATTAAATTTGTTGGCATAATCAAGCCAGAATGAGATGAAGTCAACTGGTAGGCTATACATTGAAAGTACAAAATCTGTGTCACCCAATAAAATGGGCTGTTTCTCTTCAGCTATATCATGAGTATTACTTTAAATCCACGATATTTCTGTAATCTACATTTTCTTTTCGGAACTGGTTGTTCTTACTTAATCTTATACGGTGGCACTAATGGATATTTTGTCTTTAGAACAGCCTAACAAATAGCAAGATATTATTGTCATAAGGCTTTTGATGTCATTGTGTTTTATGCAATTGAGGCTACTAATCCCCATGACAGATTAGCAGTCTGCCTTGCATAGCAACGTAATCATAAATGAGAAACAAAAGGTGAAGTCAGGCCGACCTTTGGCAACTCGTGACACCTCTGTTAGGCACAGTCTGTAATCTATAAATACTACCTTATGTCTCTTGTTATTCCAAATAAAAAGAGGGCTCTGTGTTCATGGTAGAGCAAGACTTTGTGAATGTCACTGAGTTGACTTTGTTAAAGGAAAAGTTCCTGGATCCATAGTGCTGAGCCACATGTGCAGAAAAAGTGTGCAGCTTTTTGGGGTAATGCTTGAGTATTGCTCTGAAGAAGTTTGCATTCCTGTGTTAGTACTTAGGCCACAGCTTGAGAACTTCTGTCTTGGAGATTTCCTTTTTTCTTATGATCTTAAGAGAATTAAAAAACAAGAATGAAATCTGAGATGGGTCCTAAGTCATATACCTTTGGTGATTCTGCAAATGTTTTGAGAAAGCATCACGAAAAAGTGTCAGTATTGAAGTCCATTATCGGTGGTCCTCTCTCCACTTGAGGTGAACCTCAAGGTGTGTGTCTTTTAAGGTCAATTCTTACAGGTTTTTGCTGAGGGCATAAGCCCAATATTGAGGATATGTGGTGGTTATGGCAAAGAAGGATTTGATTATATTCATTTAACACACTTTCAGATAATAAGGCATTTAGTCTCCATGCTGTCACACTAACACTCAGAGGTTTAATACTTGCATTAAATGGATGTGAACAGTCAGACCTTTTTAAGTTCAGGCAATGAGAAAATTGTGACAAGCAATCACTAGCTAAAGTGTCTGTTGGTGGTTATATAGAAAGCATGTCTGTCAACGCTTTCTGCTAGGCATTTCAATGGCCTTTGAGAAGCTGCAAAGAGACTGAAAAGTGTAGGGGACTTACTTGAGATGTGGCAACTCAGAACTATTGGCTGGGTTTATGAGAGCTGATGTATAATTGTACAGACTGAATGTATACAAAAAAAAAAGTTGTTTTGACCTTCTCCTTACCCATAATTATATTTCTCAGTTAGAGAAAACTATTGCTGGTATCTGGGACAGAGTGGATATGTAGAACTGACAAATCATCTGTTGACTTGCACCTTTGTTTTTGTTTGTAAAATAGCCATGACCAAGTAATGCTTTCTGAAATACAGTTGTTTCTTGAAGGTTTATGTATCATCTGAGTTTCTTGGTCCCATACTTTGTGAAAATATGTTGTATGTTTGTTTGTTTTCCCAACAAAGGATGAGTGGTTAGCCACTGTGCTGGCCTTGCTAAGAGAGAATTTGGTAGTGGCATGTGGCTGTTCCAGTGTCCCAGTGCTCTCCCATCCTTCTCTGAGAAATATTATTCAAAGATTGTTTAGTCCAGGATTTATTTTATATCTGCCAGCCTTGACATCACCTGACAACACTGATTTTACACACTGAAAATTTCTACTCTTTCTCTAATGAAACACTTCATGTGAAACCCTGTTGCATTGAAGGAAGTGGGAATGTTGCCAGGACTTCATCCTATCTGCTCTCTGAGACTCCCCATGAAAATGTGCTATGTCACATGACATTCTTAGCACAGCGTTGGGTAGGGTATATCCTGCAGAAAGACATCTCTTGTAAACAAGATTTAGCAATCTTGGAGGGAATTTCCTGCTGTTGGTCAGATTGTTTTGAACACCATTGACCTTGCAGCAGATTTCTATTCTAAGAGCAGCTATTCATCTGTGTCCTAGGATCAGTTGCTTTGATGACAGTAACTGCTGGGGAGGTGGATAAGGAAATCTAGAGACACTCGTTCGAGTTGTGAGGCCTGCTGATAACCAGCCCAGACTGTGCTCTGGCTAGCCTATACCAATTTAAACACTGTTTGGAAGGAAATAGCTTCACTAAGGAAGGAAGCAAGGGAATGCGGAAAACAAACCAAAAAAATTCCAAGTATAGCATTAACCTAGACCACATCATGTTGCCATCATACTACCAATACTGCACAGCAAAACACATGTCAAGCACGCTTCAGCTTGCACCAAAAATATATTTCTAAAATGCACTGGCATTTGTAGCATTCTCGGACGCTCTTCAGATTGCCAGTCCTTGTTAAGCAGATGAATTTGCACCATTTGTTTCTACTTTGCAAAGAATGTCACATTCCTCAAGAAGAAAAAATATTCCATACACTTGGGATTGTAAATGACTGATTCATGGACATTTTTTTCTGAACACAAGGAGAGCTAAGTGTAAATGCCAAAGCACAGGGAGCAAAACTGATTTATTTAGTTATCTTCATATCTTCTCAGTCAAAAAACTTTTCTAGGTTTTAAATCTCTCCTCTCAACATGATATTTATATAAGAATTGCATTTTAGTGGATTTAAACAATTTCCGAAAGTAATTTTTCCATGGTCTGTTTGGATGGTCTGGCTTCACAGTCCCAAGATATTTGTAACATAAGGTAGTTTCCACGTGTCAAGTAATTCATAGCCTTCACAGTCTGAAGCCCTTCCAAAAAAGTCAGATCATGGAAATCTAAGGTAAAATACAGACAATCAAAACTTGCTTCTTGATCATACTGCATGAAGAACATCTTCTCAGTGGGTTGATTTCTCCAGACAGTCTCAACTTTTAGTAGGAAATCTTTCTGTTTTCTGTCTATTGTACTATATAATAAAGAACAGGCTCTGACTACATAATAAAGAACAGACATAGTCTGAAATACTCAGAAATTATTAGAAAAGTTAAAAAAAAAAAAAAAACTGTGCATAATGAGGATCAAACTTTTATTTACAGTTACTATTCAGTATCATCATTTGATACAGAAATTATCAAGTGTATGGCATCATTTTCAATAGTTTAGACTCTCATCTGAAGAAGAAAAAAAAGGGAGGGGGTTGTTAAACAGTGATTCAGTGATTTACCAAACACTTTTAAAAGGTTTTAAAAGGACAAAATGGGTGGTCACGGTGTCAGTTTATGTAGGTGTTTAGAACTGCAGTTCAGAGTCACATAAACTAAACTCTAATTTAGGACTTCTCTTTTATTATGTGTAGTGAACCACTGAATGTAAATATTTCAGTAAGTCCTCGGTGGCAATTCTGGATTTTAACAAAAGTGTATTTCTTATTATATATTCAAATGACTGTGATTTTTATTGGTAAAACTTGTAATGTCTTCAGAAACCCTCCACCAACAATAATGCAATTAATTACAGCTTTAATTACATATCATGTAATGTCTGGTTCAAAAGCTAAGTAAAATCATTAAGCATCTTCTCATTGACCCACAGTCTTCAGCTACTGGCAAGGCTGTGTCCTAGGTCTGTCTGCCCATACAAGTCCATCTGAAACTGAAATAGCATTCCTCACAAAATTATGTATGTTCCCAACAGATGGCCATATCTGAAATGAAAAGGAAATGATACAAACAAAACAGCTTAGACATAGCTTGAAACTGATAGGGTACGGCATGCAAAAGCAGGAAAAGAGAAACCGCATTTGATATTCTTCTTGAAAAGCTGTATGCTAAGTACACAAGGATAAGGATAAAATATTATCAGAAAGATAAAGGAGAATATCCCTTTATTGAAAGCAAGTTGGATTTATAATTGGGACTTTTTATTCTTCTCTCACACATAAGAACATCACAGGAAATATAAAACATGAACTCATGATCCAAATGAGGATGTGATACAGAGGACAGCAAGGGAGATGCAGAGGTAAAGGACAGCACAAAGGCACACTCTGCCTCTTCCATTGCCCCCTCAGTATTTCAGCTAAGAGCCCAACATTCAGGCTGTACAGCATTCTCCAGTTTTGCTTGGCAGAGTGAGAACCAGGTTTAAACCTGTATCATAGATGTCCCAGATGTTAAACAAACAAATTCAGGAAAAAACTAGTCTGAAGAACTCCTTTTGGATGCAGTACAGATTTTTCTCTTGGGTCAGCAGAATACCCAGTGCCGAACATGAGTAAGCTTTCCACAGCCGTGAACTGCTTGCTCAATGAGTGAGCGTAACTTTGTCTACACAAGTTACTGGAAGTTAGGCCTGACAGAGAAATCACGGGGTAAGATTTTGGTATACATTTTTTAAAGAGTCTGACTACACAGTCTGAGGTGTTCCTTTATAATCCCAGACTATTGATTTTATTTTTTTTTTCCACAGAAAACTGCACTGTCCTATTGTAGATACAAGAGGTGATTAGCCTATCATTTTCCTGAAGTGTTTGGAAAATCTGATTATTTTCCAGCGTTTTTCGTATATTTTCCTGAACAGAGGCTGAACCTGATGATAGGATATTGGCCATGTGTTTAGCTGTCATTCTATTGTTTTTCATAGCATAGGTTGAGGTTAATTTAATCTGAAAGAAGTGCCGGTGCGCCCCTCAGATGTAACTATATGAAGCAGATGCTCTTCCCACCACTCTCTTATTTTGGTCAAATCTGATATAATTTCATTTTTTTGCAATGCCTTATACTAACAAGAAATGGCTTTCCAAACATCTGTGCTTTAAAGGACCTTCTTTATGTCAGGCTGCTGAACATTTAACCTATTTTGAAATACCTTCTGCAGTTCATGTTCCGCATGTGTGTGACAGAAAAACCAAAAGACACTCACTGCACTTTCCTCTGTGACATTTCCACCCTGACACAATGCCCTCTATTAGGCTTACACAGTAATCAGCTATCACCTTTCCATGGGTTTCTGTGTTTCATCACTCAGCTTCCTTCTGGTCTTGCTGACACTCTCCGGCACACCTTCCTTGCAGTCACTTGTGTGTCAGTCAGCAGCTGCATTCTCACACAGTCCAGCCCTGCATTTCAGCTTCTGAAGTACTAGCTGACAGTGCTTTTATTTTTTTTTTCAGCTTTTATATATTTTAGAAAGAAATGTAGTAATTTTATCAATCGGAGGTTGATCAGAAAACTCAATACATGTTATGAGTTCGTTGTTTCATTGAATTACTCATAAATTAGTCTATGTAAAGAACGCAGGGTGTCATTCCTGTACCATCATTATGGGGAGAAAAAGATGAAAAACATGAAACATCAAAATTCTCTGCAGTAATACTGAGAGATGTTTCTGATTTTGGAGGAGCAAATCTCAACATTGACTAGATTTGATGATTTTAATACAAGCACAAAGAATAGGAGGTCACAAGTTTCAGTCTAATATTTCTTGGTATTTTTCCTGATATTATTAATAATAATATTTCCTGGTATTGTTACTTGTCTTTAAAGGTTTCATCCGAGGAAAGAATGTACATAAAACATAAATAACTAGGTCAGTGAGGATTTGGGTCTTGGTCACCTCACACATCTTTAGGCACTTCAAGTCACGTAACGTACCCAGCTGGTACCCTCAGTGTCCCATACTCTGAAGAGGCAGAGATGCTCCTCCAAAGGCTTGTTTGTGCCACCTGTGTGAGGCTTACCCCCTAGAACTCAGAGATCTTCCTGTCTCCATTTGCATTCAACACCTCCGAGTCACTAAATGCCCATTTGAGGGTTACCTCCTCTTCCCACTTTCCCTTTCAAAACCTTTTCTATTGCACTTATGGCTGTCTTGCTTAAACATTTCCCTCAGTGCTGCATAATTTCTGGTCTCAAGAAAGGACTGTTTTCTTAATATATATATATATTTTTATATTTGCTATCATGCTACTATTAATTCTCTGTTGATTTTTACCTCATAATTCCAGGAAGAATGAGAACATTTCACAGCAAAGTTTACTAAAAAATTCCATCAGGTTGTCAAATGTGTAATCAAAAGTAATCCAGCCAACACAGTCTCTCACTGATCATTCTCGCCTATCTATTTATTATTCCTGCTGCTCTTGTTATGTTTAACATAACCAGATTCTGACTTTTCCTTTAAAATATTTCCTTTAATAAATACCAACTGCTTCAGCCCACTAGTCAGAATGAGCAGTCTTGCCTGATGTTTCCTCAAATTCCTCTTCCTAAAAGTCTGTCAGGGCATCTGCATATCCCCTCACTTCAGCACAGATTAGAAATTGTTATTTCTGCTGAATGAACTGTTATGATGAGGCCAGAACTGGCAGCTGAAAATGGCACACCGGTGCACATATGTTTTTGCAGAGGGAAGCCACCATCTGCCTGAAATGCAGCCAAGATACTTCCTGGTCCCATCTGCAGGTGAGAGGAGATAATAGTGCAAGCAGCTGGTATGAAATCAGAATACTTAATCTTGCAAGATGCTGACCTAAAACAAAGAGGCATATGTTTATGTATTTCGTAACATTGGCTTTCACATTATCAGCAGATACTTATTTTGTTAGACCTTTGAAAAGTATCATAACGATGGTAGGCATTCCTCTGAGATCTAAGTTGTTGTATTCTGTGCTGTATTTGAGTATAGCTCTTTTGAGAAACCTACTAGATTACAAAATTACAGGTTTTCAAGGTAACAGTTGTACAGTTTAGTGACTGTTACTGTAGGAAGAGGTAAAAGTAACTAGGGAGTCAGGAATATTTATGGAAATTAATTAAAAATATTAATCAAGAATGTTTAAGGAAGCAAAAGGGGAGCAGCATGACAGTCTCTTGAATTACATCCTAATATATCCTAATGACCAATTGTAGAGGATATGGGGGCATAGCTTTTGTAATAGAAGGAGAAGAGTTGCTAACCATTACAGCTCGGGGAAAGAGAAGAGGAAGGAGGATCTCATATTTCTGTGTCCAGAAAGGAACCTTTCATGACAGAAAGAAGAAAGATGTATTTCTAAAATAGCCTAAAATCTAAGACAGTGTGGGAAGGATAAGTAGATCACTTTATGAGCTAACAGATATGCTGAAGTGGTTGAAGAAGATCTTAACTGATAAACATAATCCAGGGCGGTTTTACCGTTGCAAATTCACATGCTTTCTTGGCTGGTGTTAGCTGGAGGAGCAGGAAAGTGAAGAAATGGCCTATAACTCACCCCTGACTTGACATGCTGTGCTTCTTCAGAGTCCATTGACTTGGAAGATTAGCAACAGTGGTAAATCAAGGGGCTGCATCCTTCCCATCCCTGCCTTTGTGCTGCCGTAGTGTTCATGCTGCCAGGTGCTGAGCTGGAACAGGAAAATGAGTTAGGTGAAAATCAGTGTGGGTTTTTGGAGGCAGGGTTGATTTGTTTTTTGTTTGTTTGTTTGTTGGCAGGTTAATTTTCAGCCCTGGTGATTCCTGATCCAAGTCATTGTGTGGCCTTGTGAACTTTTGTGGCAGAACAAAGGCAGGAATGGGAGTGCATAGGTGGGGATGGAAAGCAGAGGAAGGAGGCAACATTTTGGTCCCAGATCTCATTTATATCAGCTTTAAATGGCCATGAAACCACATCCGCCTTTATGCAGGTAAAAAAAAAAAAAAAAGTGCAGGACATGAGCACCATTGAGATGTTAAAACATCTGGTCAGAAGTACAAATGAAGTATCCCCTCCCTTCCCTGGCGTCACTGCTACCAAAGGATCTGCAGCAGGACTTGTTATACTGAAGGAGCAGGAACTCCTATGCTCCATATCACGTTCTTCGTATCATGTTCTTCATTAATGTTGCCTCTATACATGCATTACACAGCACCTCCATTACACAAGGTAAAGCCTTCGCTGCAAGCTGATCCACGATTACACTGCCTGGCAGTTAAAGCATTAAAAGTGCATGTTGGTAGCTTTGGTGCAAAGCTCCTCACAATGGATTTTGCAATGTAACATAATACATGAGACCTGCTGTCAGGCAGCTATGAGCCCTGTCATATGAGCCAAGGATTTTTTTGATATGATCTATGCTTTAAAATGTTCTTTCTCAAATAAACAAAACAAATAGCTCATTTCCCTTTGAGACTCCTCAGAAGTCCTCATCATTTTTAAGATAATTTGCCAGGCGAGAAGGATGATGTAAGTAGATACAAAATGAAACACTCGTTATTACAATCCGCACCTCCCAAAAGTGGCCATTAATCAGTTGTCTGGTACACAAGCATTCTGTGCTTATATTACTGAAAATATTGCCAAAGACCTTTTTCCAACACTCAACACATAGTACAAGGCGTTTTAGTTTTAGTAAATCTGCATGCACAAACACACTTGTTATACCAGGACAGGAGGCCTGGATTATTTGAGACACCGTGGCAGTGCCACACAATGGTGTAGCTTGTATTGCTGGCAGTACTGGCATACCACTGGCCAGGACTTCAAAAGTGTCCAAAAGACCAAAGAAACGGCTGCAAACAGAGAGCAACTTGAAATGGCCATAGAGTACTTTGAAGTGACTATTAACAATGCGTCACATAGCCCGAGGCATGTAAGAAGTACGTCTGCACACCAAGCTGCTGAACGGAACAGGATTTGTTTATCAGTCAGGACCGCAGAGGCTCCTCTGAAACAATTTATTCTTTTCAGCTCCTGCAGTTTGATGTGCCCCAGGCATTTTCTGTGGGACAGATTCAGCTAGCAAAGGATCACTCTGGCAGCAGCAGTAAGTCCTGTCTGGAGAAAGCTCTGAGCTCTCTTCCACACAGTGAGCAGAAAGCCCAAAGACAACCAAACTCCTGTGTTTGTGTTCCTCTCCTTGCAGTACTGCTTTGAGGTTTGGTGGCCAGATACAACTTCCATACAAACTACAGCCTCCCTGGCTGTTGTAGGAGAACCAGGAGAGATCATCTGTGCTGATCATCTGAGCAGCACAGGGCTTCCACTAATTGCTGTGAGAACGGTGCAAACCATTTCCCTTCTGCAGGCTTCTGGTTTCCTGCTCAGCTTTCACAGTTTTACTGCCGTCATGTATGCCCAGATCATGCCTCCATCATTTGTCTGGATGCTCTGTCTCTTCCTGGTAGCCAGACAAAAGGCTTTCTGGGGCATAAATGGCTTCTTTGTTTCCCCTCTCTGAAGGGGTCTTAGGCAAATATAGTTAAGCTCCAAGATTTTATTGTTTGTTCTTGTTGTTGTTTGGTTTTTGTTTGTTTGTTTGTTTTAAAAAGAGAGAGATTGAGAATTCTGACCAGGTTTGTAGCCCTCAAAACCACAGCTGAATATTTTGAAGTAAGGACAGGATTTTGCCCCAGATCTTCTTTTCTCTGCGAAGAAATGACTTCAGGTTTGTGGCTAGGAAGTAACAGTCAAGCATGAAATAAGAAAATGAGTACAGAGATGATGACCGAGGATCTCACTCAAAGGGAACATAACCCACTTTAAAGTTCATTGAATAAAAGAGTGAATAACAGAAACAGGATTTATTCCAAAGGCTGAAGTATAAAATATTCATTAATGGCGAACTCTGTTTTTGTATGCATCTTGAATACGCATTCATAGCCCTGCTTCAGATTGGACAGATATTGTATTAAGATATTTTTGGCTAAAAGATACAACAAAGGCACACAGTTGCATTGCAGATTTCAGGAGGAGGGGAGCTGGTTGCATTTAGCTTGCAGAGTTTGCCTCTTTATTCTTGAAGACTTACTTTCTTGGATAAAACAGAACCATGACTTTTACTAGCAAATTCTAACTTCATCTATTTCCCATCTATTTCCATGTATTTCCAAGAGAATTGAATAGAAAATATTTCGCCTCTTCCTTTTTTATTTTTTTATTTTTAAATAGGAGAAGTTTACTTAAGTAAACAGTTTTCCTGTTTTCAGCTGTGCTGCTACACAGCATTCTGAACTACCTGGAAGGATTAGCCAAAATAAAATGTCAGCATCTGATTTTGTTCACTGGATACGAGCGAACATTTAGGAGTTTAAATTGATTTCAGATGGGAATGTCAGCTGCATGCTTTGGCTAGAAATGAAGCTCTGGCTCAAAGGGGTAGAAAAGATATGATAATCAAAATTTCTCAAATTCGTTTCTTCCAAGTAGGGGAGGGACACCAGGGTGGAACTCATCCTGTATCCATTGCAATATTTTGTTCTACCCCAAATAACTGCTCATTAGCAGCATACACCATTGTGAAGTCTTTCTCCTCACACTGTTCTTCTCATGCCTAGCCTAAAATCATCCCACACCACTTTTTCCAGTGTTTCCCACAATCTTGAAGACTTGTATGATTTTTAACCACCAAAGCAAAGCAGCAGGGGAATGGATTTTGAATGAAACAAATTAAGAGTCTGGGGAGAAATATCTGTTTTATGCTAAAACAGAAAAACGTTTTCCACTTAGAATCAGGAAACAATTATGTTTCTGGTGTAGACATTTTTAACCATGCTAGTAAAAGCTTCATTTTAGGCATCAATCACAAGAAGAAAGCAGAACAGGAGACAGCAGTGGTGTTACTCCAGAGTTCTTTCAGTCAGTAGCTCAGCAGTTATGGTATTAATCCGAGATAATTCAGACTTATACGCAGCTCTTTGCACTGTGCCATGTACTTATAGTAGCTGAGGCCAGCATTGCTCACATCTCTGCACCACCTCCCAGTTGCACTTCATTAACTCCCAACCTATTGAGTAGAACTCAGATAGGTGATAGTATTTCAGAGACAAGTTGTACTTGTTTTGTGCAAGTTTAGTCTTTGTGTGGATAATGGCAAAACTCAAGCTCACTGGTGTTATTCTTGAAAGGTGTAGGTCCTAACCTCTTCAGGGGACATGAAGAGAATGAGGGAGTAAGTTGAGACACATTTGTGCCACATCCATTGTAATGGTGGAGATGGGTGCAGATGAGTACTGCTGGGTTGTGTTGGGTTTTTTTGCACCTCCGTGTGGAATATTGATTAAATATTCTCTCCTGAGATGTGGAGGACTAGTTATTGTTTTTCTCAAATCAATAATTTCACGTGGTCTGTGACTTGGGTTTACAGGGAATCTGCAGCACCTCTAAATGCTGTGTTGTGACTTTCCTATTTTATGTTGATACTGGCTGTTTTTCCTTTGAAGATGGGTACTGGGCAAGTAGCAATCTCTAGGTTTTATCTATAGCTCAGAACCAGGCAAATCTAATATCAAGCTCTAAGCAGAGTTTGGTCATCTATTCACTTGCTTATTCCCCAGTTCCCAATCTGTTGCAAGTCTCATGCCAAACTTAGCTCCTTATGAAGCCTTTGTTCCCTTGAGTGGCATTACTTTTATTGTTGGCTGAAGTGTGGCTCTCACTCTGCTAAATGATTAACCAGCACAAGGTTTCTTCATATGAACGTAGTGTGTGGATCCTCTCAAAGGGCGTCCAAGTCTTCTTGGTTCTCAGGACAAACCCTCAAGGTCCAAGTAGTGTCCAACTCACCAAGAGATGTTTTTGCCTTTCCTTCTCCACCCTTTTCCTTTTTTTTTTTTTTTTTCCTGTTCTAAGCAACCATAAAATATCTGCTACACACTTCTGTGATGCAGAGAGAATAATAATCAGTCCTGGGCCAAGTCACGTACAGAAGCAATAGAAGAGCATTTTCACTGTGCAGGAATGTTATTTATCACTACACTACTTACGTTTTACTGTTTAAAATAATAATAATAATAATCCTCTTCTTTTGACCAAAACAAACGTCCAAACACAGATGTTCACTAAGTATCCAAACATGAATAAAAGATATTCAGAGAAATTTGGGAGAAAATACTCAGAACCTAAATCCCAAAATCCTTATGCAGATTTTGTTCCCTCAGATCTCTCACTTAACTAATTGAGATTAAACAATGGATAAAGCTTTCAGAATTTAACCATTTTGTTACATAACTGTGTTTTTGTTTTTGTTTTAAATCATGCTTTGCAATTCTTATGCGTTTAGATAGCATTGCACCAGCGAAATCACAGACTATAAATGATCTCCGAAAAGCAGTGAAATTGAAGCCAAGAGCTTTTCACAAATTCAAAATTTGCTGCTACAAGGGATAAATGTGCCAGATTCTAGTATGTGGGTCACTTGTTTTGCCAGACCATCCAGTCTATTAATGGATTTGTATCTCTTATCCTGAGGAGGGAACAAAATAAATATTTTGACCATTTTCAGCTTTTTTGTGTTTATGGGCAAATGTGTACTAATGCAAAACTGGGTTATGGAATGAGTTATATTTAGGTGATGGCTGTGAATTTGTTCTTTCTTACGATCTGTGCTGTCAAATTCCACCCTAACAGTTTGGTATGCGCATTACAACATCTACCTACTGCCAGAACAGGCACTGATTGGCTGAAGAGGTATGGATCGGTGAATTGAGTTACTGCCAAAGCCCATCAAAA